GATATTCTGATTTATTGAGATGTAGATTTTTACTATTTGGATCTCTGAATAAATCATTAGACTGTCTTTTTTGTTGTTTTTTAAAGGGGAAACAGCTTATAAAATAAAATTAAAAAACCTGAAATTTTTTCTGGTAGATATCTAATCATGTTTGAGCTTTTACTTCTAAAAAGTTATAAATATATGATTTAAAACCCTGAATATAGTAAACATATGCTGTAACTGTCAGTATAAGTCTGTTTATTGTCTTGTTTTGAAAAGAAAAACAAATATGATCTGAATTTGTCATTTATTTGCTCAGATCTGGTTTTATGTTGACTACATTTTAATGCTTAGTTGAGCTTTTTTCTTCTATTGTTAAATAAAATACTGTTTCCTAAAATCAAATTGATCTTTTTTGGAGCATTTTTGGGCCGATTACGTGTAAACAGAAGGTCAAAGTGAAGGAATGATGGTAAATATGTAAATATGGACCCAAAATGGTGCCGCACAAAGCATGATGGGTAAATACTGTCAAAGACCTTCATGTATGTTTCAAAGACAGCGAAGGTGAGCGGTGAAAGCCGGAGACAGATGATGACGCATCTCTAAGTGATTATTCCGCTGTAATCGACTTGAATCAGCCGTCGCTGGATTGAGTTGTTTTTAATAAAACTCCTGATATTGGATCTTCCTGGGACTCCCCTGATAGACGCGTCATGAGTGCATAATAATAATCGTGATAAATGACTTGTTAATGGTGTTTGACTTGATTTGGTCGCCCTCGAAGGAGAGCGTGCGAGTGCAGACAGTGATAAAAGACTGAAAGAAATCCAAAGTTAAGAAAAAAACAAAAAAGGAGGAGGAGGAGGAGGAGGAGGTATCCTTAAAGAACAAAGTGATCCGTTTATTCCCCCAATCCATAAATGACCAGCTGCTCCAATTAGGCGATGATTTAAAGGAGGAACCCCTCGACCCCTGAAGACACTTCATAATCACTGCGAAATCATTAAACGGTATGTGTAAGGCGAAGCGGCGGGATAACAAGCTGGGATTCCTCTAGCGTTACAGCTGGCCTGAGTCCCAGCAGCAGCAGCGGCGGCAGACTTCTGCGGGCCGAGGGTGACTTTGAGAGAGTGCTCGACAAAAGCCTTTGCCTTTGCATGCAGGGGAGCGCGCCGGGGGTTGCACACCCAAAGTGCAATTTATAATCCGCCTGACAACTTCCATCCCCAGCTGGCGCAAAAAAGCATCAGTCACTGCATCTGTGCTTTGCATATTGCGAGTCAGAGGCGTTGAATGGCGAGATGTAACTTCCCCTCTTGTACCATTGATCATGTGGCGGTCTGCGACTCCCATGAGCTGCGCACATTAAGGCCAGTGACAAGCGGAAAACATTACAAATGAGCTTTAGCAAATTTGCAAGGCGGTGTCACCTCTTTGATGTATAGATGAGTGGATGCTGGCGTCTTTCTCTCTTTCCGTTAGACCTCTTTAATCATTTCGGTTGGATCTGTCCTTCTCCACTTTCTCCTCCTCCTCCACCTCCTTCCTCTTTTGGAGCAACATTTAAACTCCATTAATCCAGGTAAAACTTTAACTGTGACAAAGACGATGACAGTCGCTCTAACTGCAGGATCTGACTGATTGGATAAATGACATCAGGAGGAATTTACAGCTTTAAAGGACGTAATGTAAACTTAAATATGACGCTTTATTCTCTTCACATGTAAAAAAAAACTATCATCATTTATTACTTTTGGAAATCTGATCATTTGTAATAATCTGCTAAAGAAACAGTGTTTTAACTCCTGTGTGAATCACTCATGTTTGTCATTTATAAAGTGGAAAATTCAGGGAAAATCACCCGCTCTAACATCTATGAGACCCTACATTACTTAATTTTTTGTTGGTGTCTTTCCTGCTCAAAAATTTTTCAAGATTTGTTTGACAGCAGCCATGTTTGTGCAAAATTTCTTGTTCCGAGAAAAATTTGAGGGATCGGAAAATCTGAATCCACTGTTTATAAAATCAAATAATCCAATCATGACGTGCGTATACATGCACCAAGTTTTATTCAGATTTGAAGCATTTGGACACGAGCAGAGCTGTCTGATTTCACTGAAACAACCAAAGAAGAAGAAGAGTTGTATTTATGCCTGTGCTGTCAACAAACCAACAAACACAGCAGTGGCTCATTCCATCCAATTCAGGATTTTCCCCCTGTTAAATGTTGTCACTAGATGGCGCCCATGGCGCCCTTGCTTACTTATTTTAGTGTTGCGATCATTATTATCATCATTACGCTGTATATACGCCTTGTTGTGTTATCAGAGAAGCAGACACGGTACCTGCGGTCAGAGTGTTAATAGTGAAACCTCCTGTACTGACCGCAATAAATAAATAAATACAATACAATTTCTTTCCGATTGAGCCAAATTGGATCCGAATTTTTTGATCGACATGTTACCATGATGGTCGGAACATGACGTGATGCTTTTTTATTCTGAGCGCAGCTACTGTTAACAAAATTTGAGCAATTTGAGCTGGATAATTTCACGTTAAGAGCGAACTTAAATCCATCGATAGATCCAGCATGTGTGCAGCAAGGACTATTTTCTTTCTTTCGTAGTTCTTGGGAGATTCCCAAACTTGTTTCCTCGCAGCTCTTCTTTTTTACATCAGTGCTGCTTTTACTTTGTGATTTTAACATTTACATACATTTCATACGGACGCCTAACACTGAAACTTTGCACTATCTGTTGTTAATGTGGGAAAGCATCTTACCAACCCTTAAAGGCAGGCTCGCAGTTTTCACCAAAATTTAACCAAACTTTGTGCAGATAGCACCACGTGTCCTGTGCTGCTGTATTTTCGCTTTTCGCACTAAAAGCCGCACTTAAAATCCCTGCCTAGCAAACTTTAAATTTATCCATAAATTAACAGTTTTTGGTTTAACCCTAACATTCTTTAGCGTTCCGTTTGTGTCAGCTTTGGCGCCCCCATGTGGACGAAGCAGTTTTTGCTCATCTTGTCCTTCAGAGCTTCTAAACTTCAGGGTAAAATGCTGAAAAACATCACCTGAACATAAAGGCTGTAGGAGCCTCTAAAGTGGCGAACATATATGGCGTTCATAATCTTGTCTCCATGAGAGAACTCCAGCCGACCTCTCCAGACAGAAGCTGAGCTGAATGTTTTCTGTAGTGCTCTCACTCTTGATGATACTCAAAACAACCCCGCTAAAGAAAAAGAGTCAAACTTCTCCTTTAATGAGGTGCTACATCAGGAATTTCAAGGTTTAAAAACCCTGAAATATAAAAAAAAGCGTCTCAGTAACAGGCGCAGTTGTTGTGGTGTTAAACAAAAGCTCTCTCTGCGATGAACCCGCCGTGGTTCTGATGAGGCCGAGGCTGAGTGTGTCATAAATCATGCCCAGAGAGCGAGGCGGTGGGGGGAAATTGTACTATGATAAATATTGAGAGGTGGAATGAGCAATAGTTTTGTCACAATGCGGAGGCGCCAACCAACCAACCCCCCCACCGCTGCCGCCTCGACTCCCCCTCCACTGTGAAATGTGGCTTTGTGATTGGGCCTGGGCACAGAGCAGTAATTCAGGTAGCGTTTTGAAGCCGGGATACAAAAAGCTGCTGATAAATTGTTATCCCAGCTGAACATCTCCCTCTTTTCAGACTTGGGAGACACATAATTGAGAGCAAACATGCAAACAAAGCTAATGATTTTCCTCCCACTTTACATTTCTTCCCCCTGGAGGCCTTCGTCTGTCGAGCACGGCTCATGCATCTTTCACTAAGTACAGCTCAGAGTCTACTGACCTCCCTCACACGCAAACCTTAAGAAGCCGACTTCTCCCTCGCTAAAGTCTCCTGTGCTTATGATCTCACCCCGTCTGAGATGAGTTTGGAGTAGTAGACGCCTGAGGGGTTTTCTCTTCGATAAAAAGTCTTTCTCCGGTCTGTGAGAAGACAAAACATTCACGTAGAGAGGAAAACTGCGGCGCACGTGTACATCAAGTGTCTGCTTTCAAAAAAAAACAGGGTGCTAAATTATGGAACGACTACAACCGACGTCGACATTTGCTCTGAGAAGTCGCTGAATAATTAAAAAAAGGATTAAAAATTCAATTTCAAGCTGACAAAGTGGTCGTGGTCATCTCGTCTCATGGCTGACTCAACCGCCAGTCTCCTCGGGTCAGACCGAGGTCAACTGTGCTACTTATATTAAGGAACATACATTGAGACGGAGAAATGTGTCAGGATGACTCATGATAGCTTTCCTTTTATAACTTCAGAACAGACTTTCATGTGCTTGTGAGGTTCAGGAACGGCGAGACGCGTCGCTTAACTCCTCCCCAAAGGTTCCCTAATCTGTGTTGACACTAACTGTATATGGAGCACTCCATTGACGCTCGCTGGATGTTTTCCCGATTGAAATCTTGCAAAGAAAAGCTCTTGGAGTGAAGGGTGGCTCTGCGAAGTCAAAGTCCTTCATCGGCCAATAAAGTGCCAATAAATCCTCAAATACACTCGGAGCTCAGGGCTGATGTTTGGACACTGGAGACAGTTTATTTTAGGGAGAACAGAGGCGGAATCAATCAGGGGGGTTATGAATGAGAGAAGTGACTCATACAGAGGGACGTCTATTTTAGAGGATGGAAAACTGACGCAGATTTGAACAAACAAACAGCTCTTTGAACTTTTCAGGTCAGATTTTGAGTCCAAAACATGCGGCTTCATTTCATACCGTATTTTTCAAGAAGGCGCACCGGATTAAGCAAAACAACACTGTTTGGTAAATCAAACTTTATTTAATAATAATAATAATAATAATTCATTTTATTTGTACAGCGCTTTTAAAAACACTCAAAGACGCTTTACATGGTACGTAAAATTCAAGATAATAAGACAAAGACATAAAAACAGTAAGATGGACGAAACAGTTAAATATTAAAAGCAATTTTAAATAAGTGAGTTTTTAAAAGGGATTTAAAAGTAGTGGGGTCAGGGCAGTGTCTGATGGAGGGAGGTAGCGAGTTCCAAAGGGTAGGGGCAGCTGTGGAGAATGCCCGATTCCCCCAAGTTCGGTGCTTGGGTCGTGACAGTGGGGTGAGAAGATGGGCAGAGGAGGAACGGAGGTTACGGGGGGGTACATGAGGCTGGAGTAGGTCGGTGAGATAAGAAGGGGCTTGATGATGAAGGGCTTTGTGGGTGAGAAGGAGGATCTTGAACATGATGCGTTGCTTGATGGGGAGCCAGTGTAGACGGAGGAGGATGGGGGTGATGTGATCTCGTGAACGGGTGTGGGTAAGGAGGCGGGCGGCAGAATTCTGGACTATCTGTAATTTATTGAGGAGTTTAGAGGGTAGACCGTACAGGAGGCTGTTGCAGTAATCTAACCTTGAGGTGATGAAGGCGTGGACCAGGGTTTCTGCTGCGGGGAGGGAGAGAGATGGGCGAATACGGGCAATGTTTTTGAGGTGAAAAAAGGCTGATTTAGTGACCTGTTTGATGTGTTGTTCGAAAGTGAGGTGGGTATCAAAGATGAGTCCAAGGTTGCGGATGGAGGAGGAAGGAGACAGGGGTGAGTTATCAACTGTGATGGAGAAGGGGGGGGTGGATTGGGTGATGGATTTGGGGCCAATGATTATCATGTCGGATTTGTCACAGTTCAGTAGAAGGTAGTTGTTAGTCATCCAGGTCTTTATTTCGGAGAGGCAGGTTGAGAGGGTGGAGAGGGTGCATGGGGTGATGGATTCAGTGGAAATGTAAAGTTGGACATCGTCAGCATAACAGTGAAATTGGAGGCCGTGACGACGGATGATATGTCCAAGAGGGAGGATGTAAATAATGAACAGGAGGGGGCCAAGCACCGAACCTTGGGGGACACCTTGGGTCAGGGGAGCAGTGGTGGAGGAGTTGCTGTTTATGTTAATGAATTGTTGACGGTTTGTGAGGTATGACTTAAACCAGGAGAGGGCAGTGCCAGTTATGTAGATTGAGTCATGAAGACGGGAAAGGAGGATGGAGTGGTGGATGGTGTCAAAAGCAGCGGTGAGGTCCAGGAGAATCATGATGCTAATGTGGCCGGAGTCAGCGCTGAGGAGGAGGTCATTGCAAATCTTGAGGAGGGCTGTTTCTGTACTATGTTTGGGAAGGAAACCGGATTGGAAGACTTCAAAGAGGCTGTTGGAGTTGAGGTGGGTCTGAAGCTGAGAGGCGACGGCACGTTCTAATATTTTAGAAAGCAGAGGAAGGTTGGAAATTGGGCGCAGTTGTAACAAAAAACGAGTTCTTGAGTTAGTCCGACTGAAACTGGACTTTTAAAATGACCATAAACACGTCAGTCGGACTGAAATCGGGTAAAATCAAACTTCTCATAGTCAGACTAACATACTCTGATAACATGTTGGGGATAGTTTGGATATATCTGCCTCAGTTGGACTGAATCTGGTCTGTAAAGAGTTCTGTTCCGTTAGTCACCTGATAACGCATGGCAACAGTGGAGGAGGGTCCTGAGACCTGGCCGATTCAAAGAAAGCTGCGCTCCGATCTGGCACGGCAGGCGGATCAAATACGTGAGCATTTTAATGTCATTTAATGTCCCACAGGGAAACTAGCTGAAGAACTCGTGAGACCTCGCCCAGTCGAGAAAATATCGGTAATCTCATGAGCACTTCTCCTCTGGTGGCGGTGGATTGGATCTGGTGGGCGCTTGCATATGGGAATGTGGGAGGAGTTGGGATCTTAAATGTAAAGGTACCACAGAGGGACCAGAAGGACGATATCAAACCTGAAAATGAGAATAATACCCCTGCTTTCATTCTGCTTCTCTTTCAGACGGCCTGAATCTTTATTTCCTTTGATAAAAGAGGCTAAAAGAAAAACAAGAAGACTAAACAGGACTGTAATTCTTTTGCATTAACGGGGAGAGAAGCACACTCACGACTCAGCATTAAAGAGTTATTTATCTCTGCCTCATCTAAACTGTCTGAGCGTCACTTCTGAGAGTATTAAAATTGATGAAAGGAGACGCGCTTCCTTTTTCTTCGATTTCCTGTTCAAGTTTTGTTTATGTGGTTTTAATTTAACCGCCTGTATCTGTTGGTAACTTTTCTCTATACTTTCAAAAGTACAAGTGCAAACTTTGTTGAATATATGCAATTTATTTCAGTATGGACCCCAGTAGCAGTTGCCAAGGCAACAGCTAATTGAGACCCGAATAACCATACAAGCTAAAAGAAAAAAAACACACACACACCATCTGCTCATGTAGACACAGAGTTCACTAAAAGACCTAATGATGGCACACCTGTTTTCACAACCACTGAGTGAGCAGATGATGTGAAAAACAACACTCAAACATACTTTATTTTGTTAGCTATATGATCCCAGCGCTAACCTCGCTAATTAACAGTGACACGAGACCGATGCTAAAGATTCAACACGCTAACACTCATAGTAAATACTTATCTTTAAAACAAACAGGGCCTTGGGAAAATGAATGAAAGATGATAAGATGAAGTAAAAATATCAGAGAGAAAAAAATCAAACTTGTCAAAGTAACTGCTCAGAAATAAAACAGCAACTCTCTACACTGTTTGCTTAAAGTCGACTAGCCTCTGTAAACACCGGTGCAAGAAAGAAAGAAAAAGAAGTTGGACCAGCAGAAGGTGAGTTGTGAAAATAGAAACTGGACCAGGACCTCCAAAACTACCTTTTCACCTTGAGTTACCCCACTTCTGACTAAACTACTAAACTGACAAGAAGAAACTGACACTACTGATTATAAAAATGATATTTGCAGCCAATCATAGTTCGGGTTTTTGGTGTATATGATCAAATTTCAGAGAGGGGAGCTACCGACCCAAGGGCAGGGGAACCCCCGAGCCATACAATGAATCCTCCCCTGCCAAGTGCATCCCTTCTCTTTTTGCAGCGCCATGAACCGCCTCCCTACTTGTTTATGAGTCTAATGGAAAAAATAGAACTCTTGAGATCAGCTGTAAGTAGGAAAGAAGCTGTTGGAAATCGACACATTAACTTGAATGGTTTCGATCAGCTACGATTGGCGGATACGGCCTTTTCGTAGCCGTTCAGGGGGACGGAAATTGGGGGTAGGTCTGATCTTGAGATGAAATAAAAACATGACCACAAGACCTGAAGCTTAAGTTTAGTCCTAAGTCTTCGTCTGTGTTCACACTGCAGGTCATTTCTGATTTTTTAACCATATGTAAGTGTGAACAGTGCAATTCAGATTTTTTCTAATCCTACCCAGGCCTCTTTTGTATGTGGATATAAATCAGATATGTGGACGCTCAGGTCGCGTTTATCCGACCTATACGTCATCAATATGCGACAAACGTCACCATTGTTCGACAACACAAACAGGCGCAGAAAGCAATTTGTGGTTTGTGCGCATGCGGGTCACTTCACGGACGCATTTGTTGTTGTAATGTGGACGACCGCACAAAAAGATCGGATTTAAGAAAAATTCCGAATTGTGTATCAAAACCCGCAGTGTGAACGTAGCCTTTGAGGGTCGAGTTCAAGTCGAGTCTAAAGTCATGTTAGTGTGCAATCTCGCACTAGTTCAGATTTTCTTTTCACGATTATCACCTCATAATTTTCTGTCTTGTGTTTAGGGTGCTGTATTTCATTGTAAAACCATGCTTTTATTTTGAAGTATAAGCCACTTCCTGTCGATTGTAAGTTACAGAGTTGAAAGAAAACCGTAAAAGGACAGTTAGAAAGTACAAATGTGATCTCCTGGTTTTAAACCTCTGAGTTATCGACTGTCTCACCAGGAACAGATGAATTTGTGCTCATTGTGGGAACGCCATAAACCCTGACATGACGGCTCTGGCGCTCTCGAAGGAGTCTTTGCGATCACCTCTCTGACGGTTTTTACAAACCAACAAAAAGTTCACTTTTCCCTGCAGGACTTTTGCGTCCTCTGGAGTGTTTTTACAAGGTTATGCCAGTACTTTCACTTCAGTAACATCTAAATGTCTCTCCTTTGGTCCTCAGTGTTCAGGATAGTACTTTCCCTGGTGCCCAAATCAGCTGCAAATCAGTTGCAACTAGGACAGCGGAGTCACAGCCATGTGTTTACAACACTCTCAGCCTGCATCACTGAATCTCATTCAAATTATATTTCATTATCAGCAGCTCAGTGAATAACATTACCCTGGTGGATTCATTTAGTTTGACACTAAAATAATTCTATGATGTCGGCGGGGACTTTTCGGAGTTTTACTCGGCGTGCTGGATTCGAGTGCGGTCGGAGAGTTGGTTTCAAAAGCAAATGGTGACGACGCGCACAAACGAGCGTGTCTGCTGTCATCCAGTCTGACAGAGACAGTGAACTCTAACAGTATGTGTTTACTCATTTACATGTCTCAACACCTACAATGTAAAAATGTAAATGAGCCTTTTCTTGGAGCTGTCAGGCAGTTGCACTTGTTCTTATCACAGCAGAAAATGTTCCATAAGGCCCTCGATGAAAGCCATTACATAGACGTGACATGTATGGTATCATTACCACCTGTCACCACCTCTGCGCTTCCCCTGGCACACTCACGTTTGCATATCTGACTCTCTCCTGGCTCTGGTGTTGACACTGTACTGACTGGAGAAGTATGACGCTCAAACACGTGTGTCGTCCATACGCTGGACTTTAAATAGACACATGGGAAATGACCCTGCTGTTCGCCCACAGCGCCACTTTCTTGACTCTCTGTTCCTGTGAGGTTTTTTTTCCTTGGATGTTTTTAATTCAGTGTTCGCTGGTTTTCAATCAAACGCCTTTAAGGAGTGTGATGTCTCTCATGTCACATTAAGAGAACGTACAGATGAACCGTCTGAACTCGGAAAGTTTCATCTAACTTAACTCAAACTGTGCGGCACATTATGTGAAAGTACAGCAGTCAGTGATGTAAGCTCTGTCTGTGGACTTTCATACGGGGAGCTTACTTTAATTTCGCACATACTTCATTTCAAAGTAAAAGCATATGATAACTGTGCCAAAGATAACGCGACATGGTAACAAATTTCAAAACTAAAGCATAACAATCAGTCATTTTAAGAATTTCTGTTGCAACGTTTCCTCCAACTTTTCTACGATCATGACAACAAAAATAATTAACAGCACGTCATACAAGGCTAGTATCGTTGTTGAAACACTATGGCTCATGGACTTATTATGCTGGCGTTGCCTGGATTGCAGGACAGCTTGTCCTCTATCGAGCAAAGATGGCTGCAGCCAATTTGTGTTGATTTTGTTCCCTCTGTCATTAAGGTTTGACTAATCAGAATCAAGAGTAATGCAAAGCTGGTAAAGTTTTATACTCTGCCTGTGGACTTTCGTCCAGAGATTTTATCCTGCTGTAGCACATACTTTATTTCAAAATAAAAGCATTTGAAAACAGTGCAAAAGCATCGCAATCGGTCATTTTTTGAGGCAATCTCTTCTACTTTTTTCCTCCAACTTTTCTACGATCATAAAAACAAAATAATTATTATGAATTTAAATGAAATAGAACGTCAATCAAAGCTTATATTGTTAATGTTATTACCTATTCTGCTGGTGTTGCCTGGATTGCAGGACAGCATGTCCTTTCTCGTGTAAAGATGGTTGTGGCCCAATTGTGTCGCTTTTGGGGTTAGGGTTAAAATAAAGGATGTGCTAACGGTGCCAAAAAAATGCAACATGGTAAAAATTTCAAAATAAAAGCATCACAATCAGTTATTTTTTTTAGGCAATCTCTTCCACTTTTTCCTACAACTTTTCTATGATCATAAAAACAATTTTTTTAAATGAATTTAAATTAAACACAACATCATACATGGCTAATATTGTTGTTGTTATGAATACTGCTCTGTTGGGTTAATGTTCGACCAATCAGAATCGAGAGTTATCACAGCTGGTTAAGTTTCAAACTCTGTCTTTTGTGAATACTCGGGTAAACCTTGAACAATAAAAACTCACAGGAAGACTCTTTAAAATATCTGAACGCTGTCAAATTTGAGACTCCATTTTCTCCTCATCACTAAAAAAGCTCTATCGCCATCCCAAGGCCCATCTGCAAAATCGATCGCCGCCAAAGTCTTGTATTGATTTTGTGTTGAAACATGAAAAAAAATCAGTTCAGTGGTCAAATCCTTCTGAGGGTTTTTTACCAAACTATTCAGAGTGGAGTTGGTTATGTTGTGTCTTGTAGTTAATTTCCTCTTATCTCCGTTGGGATTTATCTGCCTGTAAAATGT